GTCTGTGTGTGTGTGTGTGTGTGTGTGTGTGTGTGTGTTAATATACAATACATAATTAGTATTACAATTTCTAAAGTCTTAGCTAAGACTTTAAGGTGTCTATACACTAACCAACTTAAAATAAACCTAAAAAAAAGAATAAAAGTAAGGAACCATGAGCAATATTTACTAATGTGTAAAAAAAATAAATTAATAACAAATAAAATAAAAATAAAAGAGAGAGAATTAACTCCTGTCTCCCCATCACCTGATAAATAATATGGATAAATGTTGCTTATTGTTTCTTTGAGATTATGTACATGCTAAGCAACATCCACTAATGTTAGTCCTAGAGATAAAATATGAATCAATTTACAAACTATTACCCACCAGCTTCCAATGCACTTTTAAATCAATATCAAATTTAAACTTTTGTCCTCCATGTCTTAGGTTTCAATGTCAGCACATTATTCATGTCTTTCATATTGCGTTCTATTATAAACAGTGAAGTGGTCTTCTAACCTTCTAAAGCTAGTTTTATGTTCTTTTTTTATCCTTCATTTGTCTGTTTTTGAGGCAGTGTTTTACATCCTAGACCCTCTCATGTTCACTTCCATCAAGGAGCTGATATTTATGCATAGCTGAGAGTACGACTTGAAATGCAGGGTGAAAGCACAGTAATTATCGTCCAGGGCAATCAGACACTCTTATCTCCAATGATGTGTGGGATGTTATCTCTTGCTTTGTTATCTATAGGACATTTTAGTGGTCTTTAGTGTATATTTTCAGACAAAATCAACAATCCCCATTAGATCAAATGACCTACAATCAGAGCTTTTGTCCTTGGAACAGTTTGTTTGTGCCCTTTAGAAACATAAACATATGTTTGTTGATGCTAACTAAATAAAAACATACACAATCTTTGGATGAAAAGAAGGAAAATACAAATAACCACCAGAGTACTAATGTTCTCAAATGTACTCTAGTCTTGTGTGTCATTCCCAAGTGATTATGCTTTTCTAATTTTAATTTAGATTCCTCAAAAACTTTAAATCAGAAAAGCACCAGACATGTTCTAAATAAAGTTTATGTGTGTGAAAATGCTACTTTCTGAGGATTTATAAGAAAGCACTAATTTTATGTCCTCGTAATTCTCCTAGATTGCTTTCCTGTGGAAAAAAAAAGGTACTGTATTTAGAATTTTATATACTATTTGCTGTAAGACTACATGGAAAATGTCTCAGTTGTCAATCATTTAAGTTTACAGTCAGTGTGACACTTTTTACAGTGTCATAATATCATTATTAAAAAAAAAAAAAAACATAGACAATAAAAACATATTTTCCAATAAGTACTTGTCAAGCCGTCAACCAATATAACAAACGTTTTTGTTGTCTTTTTTATCATTTTATTTATTTATTTATTTTATTACTTAAGGATTAAATAAATAGAAGGCATTATAGTATGTATGACTCTAAATGACTGGTGTTCTTATTCTATTCTATCATTGTCAATGGGTGTTAATGACAGGTTGAAGTGTTTATGTGCCATTACAGGTGTTTTTCCAAACACCACAGAGATTCTGATTTAGTTTTATAAGGTAAAATTATCAGCACATAGCAGGGTAAGCTGTGCATTCATATTATACAATTATTTAGTTTAGTTGCTGCTCTCACAGTATGATTACATGCATTTTCCTCGGTCATAAGTCCAGTACTACATAATTCTGTACTTTGTGTTGAACCACAGCTGTAGTTCTATAATCATGTACATAATTAAGCCACATAACAAGCATCAATTTCCCTGTTCTTTCGTATGATCTGAAAGTACAGTGAATAGAAGCAGACATACAACTTCAATTTATCAAAAACTAGCTTACACATCATTTACTGTATGTATAAATATATAGTGCAAATTGCATTTTAAATCTATGATGTGGCAAATTCTTCATTAAATCAATTATAGATTTGTATCTTGGTTGCCAGTACCCTGCATTGATGTAAAGTTTAAACAGATTATAATGCATTCAGATGTTTACAGCAAATCTGATATGTTAGAAAACAGTACATTAAACTACAATACCTTTTTTATCCCAGATATGGAAATTGATTTTTCAAAAGTAAAATAACAGCTCTAACACTGCAGTGAAACAGTGTTACACTTATTGAACTGAATCACACAATCAATAGTGGTGTCTTTTGAGTGAATTAAAGTAATTAGATTGAAGAATTAGTGCATCAGCACAAAGCTCTGGATGTCTCCTGCACATTAGGGGCAGGACCTACTTTTTCATGTCTAATACTCATTAGATTACAAAGAAAAAGAACACTAGTCAAACCCTTTTTTAGTTTCAGTATTGTTTGGATTGGTTGAGTGTCTTTTATGAGTGAGTGAGAGAGGCAAAAGAAGCTATTTGAATGGTGATGGATTATTTTTGATTTCAAATTGCCACCTAATAGTGCTACACCATCAGAATGAAAATCTTGAAAGCAAAGAAATGCATTACAATAATCATTTCTGTGCTTGATTTCCTTAAAAGCAACTATTAGTCATGTCTTGGGAAATGTATGCCTGATGATGTGCGCTGTATAAGGTATAGACTCTGGATAGTACATTTTAGATGAGCCTGAATTCTTCAAAGCTTAAATTCCCATTCTTCTCACTACATTCCATATCCCCTGTTACTGTCAGGATTGCAATTAGGGCTACGCCTTCTGCCAGTTCACACCTCCGTCTTTTCACACAGGAAAAAGGATATAGTAAATATTATAAAAGATTTGATATAAAAAATGTATCTATAATAATCCATATGCAGAATGATTATTATATAACACAAACTATTTTACATAGTCCTTCAATTATGACTCATTCCTATGTGGGGATAAAAATGCAATAAAAAAAGAGCGTTTTGGCACAAGTGTGAGATTGTGAATGCTGGCACCCCTCAGGGACACTGTCTCATCCCAAGGTGTTTTCTTCATGTTCAGCTCTAACAGTACTATAACTTGCAGCAGTAATCATGCCATTACATTTGCTCACAGAGAGTGTTACATGCATTCAGAAAGGTTTCTGTGCTCTAGTACAAGTGATACCTATCATAGCACTCAGTCATTACATTACAAGCTATTTTGTGAATTGTATCAATCAATTGGTCTGTTTAATGAATCACAAAATCACTGACTCCCAAGCCGATTAGTTTAAAACACAAATTAATTCAGCAACAAAACACAACCACCATTGTAGTCCTAAGTTGCTGCTTATTAATAGTTAGTAAGTTAGTTAAGTTTAAGTATTGGGTTGGGTTAAGGAATCTAAAATATGATTATGCAGAATAAGGCCTTAATATGTGCTTTAAGTACTAATAAACAGCCAATATAACATGCATGCTAATAAGCAACTAGTGAAAAATGATACTAAAGTGTTGCCCATAATATTAACAGATACCATTTTTAATTTTAATAATGTATTAGTAAATATTGAAATTAACATTAACTAAGATTAATAAATGCTTTAGAAGAATTTTACATTGTTAGTTCATGATAACAAATGCAGTAAACTAATATTAACAAATGAAACCTTATTGTAAAATTATGATAATGAAATTAAATAAAAAATATAATAAAATCTTTATAAGAGATGTGTAAAGTTAAGTAGTTAGATTAGCTCTGCAGTGTACCAAAAATTGAACAGGGGTCAATGTAGGCAGATTCATAGATTATAATGAGAGTGATCCATTATATTCTTTGGAATAATATAATGCACTAATGAATCTAAACTGTATGTGTTTTAAGAACGTAGAGTTAGTGCTATAAGTCTAATATTTTGTTTGATTGTTTGCAAGAAATTCTTTCAGGGCCATAAATCCTTTTTAAGGCTCTCTATAAATAAGATTTATATTTACTAACAAATAGTTTTGAAATACATTTGCTCAGGGTTCACAAACAATTTCTCAGAACTGCAAGTCATTTTGACTGATTGTACTTCAATATCTTTCAAAAAGCTCTGAGGCAGTGGGCTTTACACAACAGTGTTTTATTATTATTATTATTATTATTATTTTGTTCTGAAATTCTTATTGACAGTTTTATTACATGTAATAGCAAATAGAGGAATGCATTCAATTCACTTCAAAGACGTCCATCAGCAAACTGTCTCTCATAGTCTGCTGCTACAGTGTTACATGTAAAGTCTGTGTCTGACTGAGATTGGGCTTTGAATCAATAACTATTACTGCAGGATTTATTGTCTTGTATCACACCTTATTCTGGTATACAGGGGCAATCCATATTCCCTTTGTACTGAGAATTACAATTACACCAGTGAGAAAAGCCATTCAGAGCAATTCAGAGAGAAGGAAGATGCATTTTAAAGTAATGAACATCTTTTAAATAGCTCCATCATGCTAATCTATCAAATTAATGTATACTTGCCCTGAAGAGCCAACAATACACACTCTCACACTCATGAGAGCACATCTGTTCATCTGAAGATTTCCTCCAGCAACAGTGACATCAGAACAACATTACATGTACTTCGCCTCCCTGTAACAAATTTTGGCAAATAAACATCTCTCCAGGGCATTTTTACTCGATAAATTTGTCTTCATTCCTGCCACAGAAGCTAGATCATCTAAAGACATACAGAAAACATATTGCTGTGCTCTCGGCTCTCATCTGTGTGGTTCACTTTAGCCTTCACAGACATGTTTCTAAATAAAATGATGCTGCATTTTATACATTGTGCATAATAACACAAAAAAATACTAAAGCACAATAAGATGTATAAATATATATTATCAAATCAAGTCAAATCAAACAATAGTAATTGTTTCAAACCAGCTTCACAGTATTAAACAGGAAAGTAACAGAATAAATGATGCAAACTTCAAAAATAAGGCGAACAGAAATTCTGCTATAAAGCATCTCTAACAAGACAATAGTCCCATTATTCAGCAGTCAGTTCAGTTCATAACTTTGTAAAAGTTATTCATTATGAAACAAGTTCAATTCAGTGATAAGCAGCTCTACTGAAGACAGTAGTGTTGTTACTCATCTCGAGTCAGTTCAGTGTTGATTCGGTTCAGTTCAATAACAGTGTCGATGTTGTAAAATTCAATTACGAATAAATTAGATTCAGCTATAAAGCTGAACACAATGGCGTCATTATTCAACTCAAGTTTTGTCCTCATCTGATAGTGTCAGTTCCGTCAAATTTATGATATTGCTGAACAGTGTTTGAAAAGTGTTTGAATATTATATAGTCATATTTTATAGATTATGGTAATGCATTTGAAGCAATATTAAAGGTATAATGTAATTTTTTTAAGATTTGATGGTCAGTAGCTATATTATAATTTTAGGGGGAACTTTAGGGGAAAAATATTGGTCATACTTTAGGGACCAATTCTCACTACTAACTAACTATTAACTATGACTTTTGCTTCAATAAACTCCTAATTTGCTGCTTATTAATATTAAGATAGTTGTTAGGTTTAGGTATGGGGTAAGATTAAAGAATCTAA